AATTCATCTGACTCATTATCTGCTTTCCGGTGGTGCCATTACATGGGTGGGCCACAGCATATTCCAGTCAGTGTCCTGTGTGCGGGCACTTAGATCAATTCTAGTATATTTGCAAATACAAATAATACAATGCCTTGATGAATAGCCCTGTATTTATATATTTTCACGTGGCTGTCAGAGTGTGTTTAAGGTTAATTCCTAGGAGTAGGATTGCGGGGTAGAGGGACGAATGTGCATATGGCTGGCAGCTTTATCGCAGCCAAGTGCCTGCCACCGGGGCTGTATCATGTCACCTTCTTCACTAGCACAGCACGGTTCCAGTCCCTCCACAGCCTCATCTGCTGCATGCAGGGCCAAGCTTTGGAACTTTTATCAGAGTGGTAGGTGAAAAGCAGTGTCATGGAGTCATTTTAATTTGCCACTTGGGGGGGGGTGTTGGGGGGGTTGTTGTGTTGTTGTTGTTGTTGTTGTTGTTGTATCTTTGAGGCAAGTTCTCACTGTGTAATTCAGGCTGGCCATGAGCTCACTTTGTAGCTCAGGATGGCTTCAAACTTGCAGCAGTCCTCCTGCCATACATTTGAAAGCCGTCGTGCATCTTCAGTGAATTCGCTTTCCAATTTTTGTGTCAATTTTTTTTTTTTTTTCAGAACCAGGGATTGACCTCAGGCCCTTGTGCTTGCCAGGGAAGCGCTTATTCCACTGAGCCCTCTCCCGGCCCTGTGTCAAATTTTTGTGCTCATTTTTAAAGTTTCTTATACAGTAGGGACATTACCTGTTTATTCATGATATATTTGGTGGATATTTTCTGTCAGCATGTCATCTGATTTTCACTTTAACCCTCTTATTTCTTGTCATTCAAAAAACTTTGTCAGAATACACACAATCTTTTGTCACCAAGTATGAATATTTATTACAAAGACATAGAAATGTAAACAATATGGAAAAATAAGTCACTAGGTAAATGGCCTGAAAGTAGATATAAGTAACAATCTAAATATTTAAATGTATATATTAGGGCTTGGGATATAGTTCAGAGGCATAAGTACCTGCCTGGCAAATGCAAGGTCCCAAGTTTGGTCCCTGGTACCGCAAAACAAATAAAAGTATGTATAAAAGTATGTATTGTATGAGTTTACTACACATTAGTGGTTCGTCAAATAAGTGGGGAAAGGGACAGTTAAGTTTGATAGACACTTTTAATTCAATGAGAAGAAAGATTTGCACTAATAGTGTTTATAGACAGGATATCATGTCGTATCTTGTTCTATGAATAACTACTATGAAGACAACAATATGCAATGTATTAATTATTGTAACTGTCCTACTGACCTGTTTTGAAACTGTCTCATTGCTATTTGTTTCTCAATAAAATTAGTTGAAAAAAAGTTTGATAGACAGTTAACTTTTTTTTTTTTTTTTTTTTGTGGAACCAGGGATTGAACTCAGGCCCTTGCACTTTCCAGGGAAGCGCTTATTCCACTAAGCCATCTCCCCAGCACCTGACAGTTAACTTTAAAAATAAAATTAGATTTCTAATCTACAAAAACAATTCATTAAGTAAGTTTAATAGTGAATAGTTTACACATGAAACCATCAAAGAACAAAAAGAAATATTGATAATTATGTCAGCGTTTCTCAACTTCAGCACTAATGAAATCTTGGACTGGGAGAGTCTGCCCTGCAGGCTGTTTTGTAGGTTGTGCATAGTTAGCAGTGTCCTGGCCTCTCTCCAGGCAACGCAGGCTGCGGCTCTCCTAGGCATGGCCATCAGATGTCTCCGGACACTGCCAACTGTCTTGGGGGTAGAGTCTCCCCAGGCTCAGGGCTGCACTGGATCATCTCTGTGGAAGCCTGGTGCCAAAGAGTGAAGTCACAAAGGAAAATTCTGAAAATATGGACTCCACTTAATCAAAGAAAGTTTTAAGAAAACTGTGAAATTGAAATTCAAGCAACAAATTGAAAACTATATAGTATAAATAACATTTCCCTTATAGAAAAGGTAGCCAATAAGAAATCACATAAATACCAGTCAGTAGAATATATGAAAGACATTTAGACTAAAACATGGATACCTGTATCCAGGTTGCAAGCTTTCCCTTTCAGGTTAGTAAACATGAAGTCAGCCTATTCAGCATGGGGATGGGAAGACAGATAATTGCATAAAGTGATGGAGGAGGCTTGAATAAGCGTAACGTTGATGAAATGCAGTAGACAATGCGTAATATACCTTCAAAGAAATGCGCACGTTTGTCCATGCAGTTCCTCTTCTGATACTTGTATCCTATGGAAATAATTGAGCAGGCAGGAAGGCCATTGCAGCTCCACTTCCAGTTGTTAAATATTGGAAAAACCTGCCTATCTAGCAATAAAAACTGATCAAAAGAGACTAAGGTACATCCATGTAAATGAACACATTGGATTAGCATTGTGACTATAACTATAAAAGATTATAGTGAGAAACTGAGCTAACAAAATTGTTTATATATTTATATATCTTTTTTTTTTTTTTTTTGGCGGAATTGGGGATTGAACTCAGGCCCTTGCACTTGCCAAGGAAGCACTTATTCCACTGAGTCATCTCCCTAGCCCTGTATTTATGTATCTTTAAGGTTAACAGGTACTATTTCTTTGTATAAAATTTTATAGAAATTATACATCATGTTATTTTCAAGACATTGAATTTCTTTCTTTTATATTTGTATTTTCTAATCTTCCAGTGAACATAGATAGTTTGCATAAGATTTCTTAAATGAGAAAACATTTTAAGGACTAGGAACTCAGTAGGAAAGGGTTTCTCTACCATTTGTGAGGCCGTAGTTTTGATCCTCAGTAAAATAAAACTTTTTTGTTTTTTTTTTGTATTTAGTACAGTCTACAGGGTCTCACTACACAGATCAGATTCAGTAGTGATCCTCCTATTTACAACCTCCCAAGTGCTGGGGTTACAGGCATGCACCACCATGCCCAGTCTCAGTCACAGTCTCAGCATGCCCCGGGGGCAGGGCTGGTACAGCAGGCCTGGGATCAAAACCCTGGCCTGGCCCTTGCATCTGCCTAAGCAGGCGCTTTAATCCACTGAGCTATTTGGTCAGCCCAAACAAAACTGTTTTAATACTTTTTTTCAATTCCAAATTGTATAAAATCAGAAAAATTTTAAAGCAAAAAATTGATAAAAAATTTTACAGTGATATTCATTAAAGTATTGCATCCAAAAAAGACACTGTTAATGTTCCAGTGTAATTTTCTAAATGGTAGACTATTCTGCATGTGTAAGAGAGATAAAAGTATTTTTAGAAGACTAAACCAATATTATCCTGGACAAAACATGGTTGCATTAAATTAACCAAGTACATGTTATAAAAGAAAATGACTATCCAAATTTAACATCTGACAAAAGCACAGCCTTTTCCTGTGTCTTGGTAGAAAGTTGTGTACTGACTCCTGGCTGAGCAGAGGAACGGAGCCTGCAATTTGACATTCCTGGAGTGGGCTGCTGGAAACTAACCTGAACCCTGGCTTTTCACGTTGCAGGTAGCTTCTGGTGAGTGCAATGAAGACACCGAGGTCTACAACATCACCCTGTGTACCGGCGATGAGCTCACCCTGATGGGGCAGGCAGAAATCCTGTACGCCAAGACTTTCAAGGAGAAGTCCCGATTCAACACCATCTTCAAAAAGATCGGGAAACTCAACTCCATCAGCAAGCTGGGAAAAGGCAAGATGCCATGCCTCATTTGCATGAATCACCGGACCAACGAAAGCATCAGCCTCCCGTTCCAGTGCAAGGGCAGGTTCAGCACCCGGAGTCCCCTGGAGCTGCAGATGCAGGAGGGCGAGCACACCATCCGCAACATTGTGGAGAAGACCAGGCTCCCTGTGAACGTGACCGTGCCAAGCCCGCCGCCCAGAAACCCCTACGACCTCCACTTCATCCGAGAGGGACACCGCTACAAGTTTGTGAACATCCAGACCAAGACAGTAGTGGTCTGCTGTGTGCTGCGGAACAACAAGATCCTCCCCATGCACTTCCCTTTGCATTTGACTGTCCCCAAGTTCAGCCTCCCGGAACACCTGGTCAAGGGAGAGGTGTGGCCTGAAACCCTCGTTCATCACTGGCTGGGAATCTGCCAAGAACAGTTTGACATTGATGAGTATTCCCGGGCCGTCCGTGATGTGAAAACGGACTGGAATGAGGACTGCAAAAGCCCCAAGAAGGGCCGGTGCTCTGGCCACAACCATGTGCCCAACTCCCTCAGCTACGCCCGCGATGAGCTCACCCAGTCCTTCCACCGGCTCTCAGTCTGTGTCTATGGCAACAATCTCCATGGTAACAGCGAGGTGAACCTCCATGGATGCAGGGACCTGGGGGGAGAGTGGTCTCCCTTTCCCCATGACATCCTGCCCTATCAGGACTCTGGCGACAGTGGGAGCGACTACCTTTTCCCAGAAGCTGGTGAAGAGTCGGGGGGCGTCCCAGGGAAGTCGGAACTTCCCTATGAGGAGCTGTGGCTGGAGGAAGCCAAGCCCAGCCGCCAGCCCCTCGCACGCTCGCTGAGCGAGAAGAGCAGGTGCGACCCGCTGAGAGGCTCTGTCCGCTCCACATGTGCGCCTTCTCCTCTGCCCATCCCTGGGACCCCGGGAGCCACAATGAAGTCTTCAGAAATCACCCTACCTCCACCTCCAGTGCCTCCCAAATCTGAAGCCGTAAGTCACTTCCGTATTGGAATGGTGTCCCAGCCTGTCTGTCTCTGCTTGTCATCTGCTCATCACTTTTCTTGTAGATACTGTACACACCTCTAATCCTAGCACTCAGGAGGCTGAGGCAGGAGGATCACTGAGAGGTCAAGGCCAACCTGGACTACATAGTGAGTTTGAAGCTAGCCTGAAATACATAGTGACGCCCTGTCTCAAAAAAAAAAAAAGAAAAGAAAAAGAGGGCTGTGGAGATGGCTCAGTAGAGTAAGCGCCTGCCTGACAAGCGCAGAGTCTTGAGCTCAATCCCCAGTACCACAAAAAAAATAAATAAATAAAGGTTGGGGGAGCTGGCCAAATAGCTCAGCAGATTAAAGTGCCTGCAAGCAGGCACAGGGGCCAGGGTTTCTATCCCTGGGCCTGCCATGCCAGCTCCGTCCCCAGGGTGCACTGAGACAGTGATGGAGACTGGGCGTGGTGGCGCGTGCCTGTAATCCCAGCTCTTGGGAGGCTGTAAACAGGAGAATCACTACAAGTCCAATCTAGTAGTGAGACTCAGAACACCCTGTAGACCCTTCCCTAAAATATACCAAAAAAAAAAAAAAAAAAAAACGTATTTTCTTATAGGAAAAAAGTTTCTGACTGGAGATTATCAGAATGAGCAGGCTTTTTTACTTCAGACTGAGGCATAGACTCCTGCTGCTGCCTAGAAAATGGATTACAGGGAAGGGAGCAGGTGCTGGGAAGCCAGGCAAGAGGCAGTTCTGATGGCAGAGGTAGGAGGGCCCCGTGCCTGGGCGGGCAGCAGAGACGGTGAGCTGCCTCCGGCTCCGGTTTGGAAGCAGTGCTCACTGATGTGTGGATGGAGGAGTGACCGGGAGGCCCATGTGTCCAGGGCATTGGGTGCATCTCTGTCCAGATAATGAAAGTGGGAGGGCAGCAGAGGGGTCAGGAGACTTCACTCGTGACTGTCCCGTGTCCCCGGAGAAGCACGGCCGCGCCCCTAAGTAGTGACGCACATGCCAGAACCAGGCGCTGGCAGGCTCTGAACACCTTAACATAACACTGCCAGTGCTTGACGGGGCTTCTATGGAGGTCTAGTGGAAAGCGGTCAGTGCAGGGGCTGGGGGCTGGATCAGTGGTGGGGCGGGTGTTAGCCTCGGGCTTCCATCCAGTACCCAGGAAAGGTCAGTGTGAACTTCTGTCTTCCACGTGCTTTGATTGGCAGCCACGCCGAACCTTTGTAGCTCATTTTGGATCATTAAATTTCACTATATCTGAAGGCAGAAAGCCCTAGAGGCACTAGATGTAATTTTCTTCATGTATTTGACAGTATCACAGTAGTTTTCCTTTTGCTATCTCTACCAAAACCCTTTGTAAAAACTCCTACATGAGTCACAATATATTAGAATGAAAATCAAAGCCCACCTGACCAGAGCCCAGGATAGGGCAGGGTGGTCTCCCAGGTGCCCCTGCCCACTCTTTTCTAACCAGTGGTCTTGGTATGCCTCCCAGGAGCACAGGAGCTGTGCAGAATCTAGTTTCAAGACCTGAACTAGATGCTAGAAAGACAACCACCAATAAGACCTGGATTCTGGGTCCCAGTATCTTTCAGGGAAGGGTTACAGATGAAAAGAGATGATTATAAAAGTTAAAGATGATGGGCAGCCAGAGTCTGTGGCACACACCTGTAATTCCAGCTACACAGGAGCTGGAAGCAGGAAGATTTGAAACAGCAAGAGCAAGTCTCCAAAAAATAAGAGGCTGACAGCATACATTAACAGTTGAGCTCCTACCTAGCAAGCACAGTATGCTAGATTCAATCCCCAATACAAGAAGAGGGAGAGAGATGGAGGGGGAGAAGGAGAGAAAAAGAGGGGGAGGAGAGAGAGAGAGAGAGAGAGAGAGAGAGAGAGAGAGAGAGAGAGAGAGAGAGAACAAAGTAACTTCCAGGTAGCAATGAACACAGAGCCTTTCTAGTGATTATCACATTCTAAATGAGTTTAGAGAATATAGGTGAATTAGAAGTGCACTCCAGGTAAAGCAGAAGCAGAGGTGCAGAGGATGGGGTCACGTGAGCACCATGGGGAAAACCGTGGTCTTCGTACTGGGTCAGCTGCAGGGGCCAGATGGGGTGCGTGCAGGGCAGCAGTGGCTGAGAGGCCAGAGTGGTGCGTGGACAGCTCGGAGTGTCGGCCCAGCTCAGCTGGGCTTGTAGAGCCCTCATTGCTGCACCCCTTTCCCAACAGGATCCACCTCTGGCTTCCTAAAACATCAGGCCTGGGCTTTCTTGTGCTCCTTCCGGGACCTTCCGGGGACCTTCAAGGCGCAAGAGCAGAGATACCTGTATTTGTCAAGGTCATGGAGTATTGCAGGAGTTCATGGTGGAATCGAGGTCCTTATGTTCAGTGTCAGAGTTTCCCCAAAGGTGTTTCTCAACTACAGCTCAAAAATAAATAAATAAATAAGCAGACAGCCTCCCTAGCAAGCACTGCAGGCACCGTGGGCACCATCAGCTCTGGTCTCTACCTGATGTTGCTTGAAGGTGGAAGCCCTGATCTTTTCTGGGAATACGACTACATGAGCTTTTTCTGTTGGATTCTGTTTCTGCCTAGCATGCTGTAGGGCTCACGTTTGGCGACTGACTGATGTAGTTATCCATAGTGTTCACACTGGGGTCACTTCGCAGCCACGCCTAGAGGTTGGAAACCAGCATCACTTATTTTTTTCTGTGGCTGATGAACGATGAGTGAGCACATAAATATTAAGTCTGATCTTGACCTTGGTACTAAAAGAAAAACACTGGAGTTCAACTGGAAACTAAAAGCAAGTCTCATGGGGGGAAAAAAAGATTTTTGGCCTGCAGTCTAAGCTGTAATTTCTTCTGATGTAAGAGAATCTTTTCAGAACATACCCAGTGTTTATAAAGTACTATAAACATAAAGATTTTTTATAAACACCTGAAATCATTTAATTTACTTTTAAAGAAAAGTTTAGGCATTTTAAGTGAAGCCATTTCTCGTTAGTTCTATGACCATGAAATGAATTTTCCAGTTGGGGATGCATGTGGGATTCAGAGAGCGTCATAATTGTTAGATGTGGCTTCGGCTTATAATCTTCCAAGGGGGACTTTAATGGGGCATAAATTAAAGTGCATCTACAGAATTTAATAAAAGTTCCGCCTTGATAGGGTGGAGGGAGTGCTTAGAGAGTTGGGCCAGGTGTCCAGCAGCCAGCCACCAGATAATGCAGGGTGGCCGTGAGCAGTCCAGTGGAGCCAGTGGGACACGATACAGGAAGATGACAGCTCCCAGGAAGCCCTCATGAGCGCATGGTGCTGGCACAGTGGAAGCGGCAAGAGGAGGTGCCTTTCATGGTCGGGCGCAAAGCTGGCCTGTCCTCACACCCAGCCACGTGGAGGCTGGAGGTGCAGCTACTGCCTTGCACTGCACGACAGCCTCCTCCCTTTCTTCTGATTCTTTCATGCTTTGCTTTCAGCACCTCAGTCCTCAGTTGTGTTGCGATTGTGCCCTCTCAAGTGGATGCTGGTGGTGTTTGTTTCTTTCCATGAACGTTAAGAATAAATCCCTCACATGCACAGCCATGTGGCTGTTTCTTGGACACTGTGTCCTTGGGTGTGGCGGGGTGACACTTCCCAGTGTGGGGAGCCTGGGCTATAGGGCCACAGAGCCCTCAACAGCTGCGAGCTGGAGTCAGCTCACTTTGTTCGTATACCTGGCACTTGATGGGATTATCTGTACAGATTGTTTAATACACTTTTTTAAACAAAGTGCTGTCACTCACATCTCTAGGGGATGAGAGTCCCTTCCCTTCCTGACGAGAATGTCCCAGGAAACAGGAGGCAGCTGCTGCATCCAGAGGTAGAAAGGACAAAGCTGTTGTCGGCAGTGGAGCCCAGAGTGTGCAGTGTGCCCAGCTCCTGAGTGTGGCACTGTCACCAGGACAACCTGACAGTCCCTTGTAGGTGGACTATCTTTATTGATCCAGATACATACTCTAAGTACATCCTCCATTCTATAATACCGTGGGCCTCCGAGCACATCTCAGGCTCTGAGTGTTGGCTGATAGGTCTAAAACACTCACCCAGATAACACTCTGCGACTGACAGGCCTCAAGAGCTGTCTCCCCATAGGATAATGTGACCTTAGAGTGCAACTATGGAAACACTTCATATTGCATGAAATTCTATAAATAAAGTGACTCCCAGACTGCTCCGACTTATACAGTGACTTATAAATGATTATGAAAACTATAGGTCACAGCTCTTCTAAAACTACTTGGGCAGTGGCCCCCTGCCTGGGGACCCCAAGCCCTGAGAAGCAGACTCTCCCATCTGTCTTTCACAGTAGGACAAAAGGCCCTCTGCTCTGGCTGGCAGTGTGGCAGTCATCCCTGAGGTTGCTGAAAGGAAAACTAATAGGAGCTCTGGGTGGCGCAGCACTGTCCTGCAACACTGATGACTCTGCTGACCTTCGTGTTGGGCAGGGATGCCCCCCAGCTTATGGGAAACAGGAATGACCTGTGCATGAGTCCGTAGCATGTACTCATCATGATGAGGCTGAAAGTCCATCCCAAATAAAGTCCGTTTAATGAAGCACAGTGTTTTTTAGTGCTTGAGAAAAATAAGACTGACTATATGAGTTTGGTGCCAGATTCCCTGGGCCTAGTCCAGTAGGTGCTTGGAAACGCTGATGCAGCTCTGAGCTGAGGTGCCTGAATCTGCCTCCGACAGGCTGAACAGTTGGCAGGAGAGCGGAAGAGGGTGGCAAGCATCCTGGGAAGCTTCATCCCCTCCCAGAATGGCATCTAAAGAGAGCAGAGGCCTGCGCACTGCCAGGTGATCTTTAGAGATGCATAGCAGCGTAGCCTCACAGAGCCACACCTCAGTTAGGCTCCTCACCCAGCCACTTAGTGGCTTCGTGTCTAAAGCACAATATTTAGCTTCCCTGAGTTGGTTCCTTTGGGGATAATAATTCTTCACTGCATTATTG